CAGTCATCTCTGCCATGCCTTGACTGATCAAATACATCATACATTATGTCACACATATCCATTGTATTTGTTTTATGATCCTATTCAAATTGATCAAATGATGATTATTTTAAAGTTAATATTGCATCTAAATTGAGCATTTTGTCCATTTCATAACAAAATCTGGTTGTGCATTGACAGATTTAAATAGTCTTTGTACAAACATTTAAATCATAGGACTGTAATCTCCATCATTTTGTTTTACAAATCTGATTCAAAACGACTGACCAGTGGCCATTTTGTTTTAAGAAATGCAGTTCCGAAGCCATATCTTTGACATGCCGTCACAGATTGTAATCAAACCTTACACGTATTTTATACATCGTGTCACAGATTGTCATGAATTTCATTTCAGATTTTGATATGTTTGACTTATTTCAGTTTAGTTTACTATTGCATGAGAGGAAATATTTTATGTCAATGACGTGTGACACTGTTCTATCTCCATATAGTACCAAAATACAAGGTGTTATAGGCATAAGAACCAGTCTGGAGAAGTTACCTGAGCTTGACAAATTTTTCCACTTTGGCAGATCAGTTTCATCATGTCATATTATTGATTGATGTTATTTTCTGATGATTAGGTTCTCCGCAACGATAATCAATTGAGAAATGCTGATGCTGAATTGCAACAGAGAGCTGTCGAATATTTACAGTTGAGTACGTTAGCATCACCTGATGTACTGGTAAGTCTTAGTAATTGACTTCTGTTAATGATCCATGTAATAGCAGGAAATTGAGTATGTGTGCAAAATGTTTAAACAACTCTTAATGTATACATGTATGTACTCTGATGTAATGCTTGTATTAGTAATTTCAGTCAAACTTGATGGTGTGGATAAATCTGAATTGCAAGAAATTACTGTGGAATCCTCCATGTTGCAAATTACTTAAGGCTGCAGTAATTTGGAACTATATAGTGCGACAGATCAATATGTGAATATCACCGGTACTCAAAAGTGTTGAAGCAATTGAAAATTCAGGGAGGTGCATTGATCCGCAACACTTGGTCGTTCTGTAATTTGTCCACATTCATTCCATCCAATACGTAGTGCATTGTAGTCCAATAACACAAATGAATCTAAAAATCTCAAGAAATTAATTTTAAGAGAAGGAAAAACAGATTTTCTTGGCTGTAGCGTTGCGAACACATGCATTTACACTTGCATTTACACTTGGTGTTCTTCTTAACAGGCTACTGTACTTGAAGAGATGCCACCATTTCCTGAAAGGGAATCATCAATCTTAGCAAAGTTGAAAAAGAAGAAAGGTGTGATTGCTCCTGGTGATGGAGCGACTGATGACGCAGTAATAGCTAGAACACATGTCAGTAAAGTCAGTGTTCAGAATACACTTGGAGAATCTAGTGATGATTTACCTCATAATTTGATGTCACCAGATACGGTAAGATAAACCATCAGTCACTGTTGATTTATCCTTGTTTTCAATTTTGAATTACTGATGAGTTTACTTAGTCCATATATTATATCAAATTGACTTCTTTTTAGAAATGGGATTTTAATCTGTGTGAACCACCTTAGTTAACATCTTCACTTTATAGTTTTATGCATGATTTTATTTGTTTCGTTGCTATCGCTACCATTTCAGTGACTCCTATTATAAATTGAGCAATGAAGAATATACTTAATACACATGTTTGAAGATCAAAGAGAAATAACAAATTTTGACGGGAAATCGTTAAGGGTTACTGTAATAACTTTAGAAGCTAGCTAGTCATCAATCTATTGTATTTGAAATGGGTTCCACACATTATTTGTTTTGAATGCACGCTAATCTGATATTGGTGTGTTATTTATAGCCTGTTACTACTACAGCACCTGCTTCAGTGGACCTCCTGGGTATTGGAGCAAGTCAACCGATTAACAGCACAACTACAAGTGAAGCTGCTGTTGCTGGAGGGGGTGGTGGATTTCTGGTTGATGTGTTTGGTGAACAACCAGCCACAGCCCCAACCAGTTCTGCTACAGGCTTTGATGACTTGGCTCCAGGATCTGAAGAGAGTTTTACTAAGTAAGTAGACAATCCAGTCCCTTTCCATGTGGTGGATATACAGAGGGAAATAGTAGAAGTCATGAAGCAATTTTCTTCAGGAAATTATATTAAGAAATATGCATGAGTTGGGAAATTCAGAGACAAAAAGTTGTTTGATGCATTTCTTTTATTTTTACAAAATTTACAATGAACTGTGACAATCTTAAGTGAGAAACAATGATTTCATGATTTAAGGTGGTTTGGGGGATGAAATCACAACATTTAATTATGGATTCAATTATTTATATGAAGGCAGTTAAAAACAGTTTTCAGTCTTAGTGACAAGACAGATTTGTGATTTTTTTTTTGGCCAAAAATGTAAGGTTTGCTGTTAGAAATTTGCCAGTCTTCTTAAAATAGCAAAAAAAAAAGCTATAACAATTCATTTCAAAGCAACAGGTATGCACAATTTCTTCTGACCCTTTTCTCTGCAACAATATTCCCAATCTGTAGTTCTGATGAAACATACCTTAGAAATAAGTTGAGCAAAGATCAAATCAATATTGCAATATTGACACTGATCAATGTTACACTCGATTACACCACAGATGTGCTTCATTGCTTCAGGACATGACTCAAAGATCATATATTACTTACAACAATTTCTTTCTTCGGACTTAGCTTTGAATAACGACTGTACTGCTTCGTACATGATTTTGATCAAATTACTGTGATATTCAAGCTCAATGTCACTGCTAATATCAGTCTGATTCTGGATGCTTTCAGCAGTTAATTTTGTCGTTGTTTTCAAGTGTCCTGATATACAGGATTTTGATAAAATTTGCTGTAGAGAAATGTTATTTCATCTGTTTATTTTGTTATCAGTTTGAATAGAATGACTTCATGAATACCGTACTTCCCCCGAGTATAAGCCCAGGGGTCTGAACATGTAAAATCTGGAAAATTAGGGGGTGGACTTATACTCGAAGACCACCTCAGAAAAGATAATTTTTTGGGGGGTTTAAAATTGTAACCATCTTCCCAACCACGAAAAATTATCCAAATTACATTTTTTGTTCACAGCGCCGGTCTCGGAGAAATATTACGTCTTTTTGATTTCCACGTCACTTTTTAAAATGAAGAAACAAATATGTTTACATATACAGTTTACATACCGTCGGAATTTACGGTGCAAAAATGGGTAGGGTCTGTGGGAAAACAGTCGAAGGCAAAACTTTATCGTGAATATCTTCGTTGAATGTTTTGGATCGTACGCAAACTCTCGATACAATGCAATTTCCGCTATGGTGTTTTTCATCATGATTTAACCTGAACAACCTTCTTTGACCTTACAGGTCATGTCTTTCGTTAACCAATCAAAATGCTGTGTCATACAGACGAAGTTTTCCGATTATTGATG